GGTTCTCAAGGTGTTTTGGAGGCTGGGGCTTTTGGGGGAGGTCTCCGGGTAGTTGGGGGGTGGAGGGGTGTCTCTAGGGACTTTAGGGAGTCTCTGGGTGTTTTGGGCGCTCTCTGGGAGTTTTGGGGCTCTCAGAGTGTTTTTGGGTCCCTGGGGGTATTTTTGGGGTCCCTGGGGTGTTTCTGGAGGTCTCTGGGAGTATTTTTGGGGGTCTCTGGGAGTATTTTGGGGGTCTCCGGGGCTGTTTTTGGGAGGTCTCTGGGGGTGTTTCTTCGGGGTCCCTGGGGCTGTTTCTGGGGGTCCCTGGGGGTCCGCACCGCTGCAGCTCTTGCCTGTCCCCCAGCAGTACCTTCAGGTGCAGTAGAAGCAGTTCCCGTCCAGCCGCCTCTTGCAGATGTAGGAATATTTCTGCAGTGGATCCTGGGGGTGGCAGGGTCCGTGGGGACACCGGGGGGGGGCACGGGGACAGCCCCAGGACAACCCCAGTACAGCCCCAGTACAGCCCCAGGACAGCCCAGCTACAACCAGCCCTGGCCTGGTGTCCCAGTGCCTCCCAGTCCTATACTGGTGCTGTTCCCAGCACCTCCCAGTATCCCTGGGCTGTGTCCATCCCCGTCCCAGGTTCCAAAGCAGCTCCCAGTCCCACCCTGGTGCTGTTCCCAGTATGTCCCAGTGCCACCACCAGTTCCACAGTGTGTGTCCCAGCTCCTCCCAGGCCCATCCCAGTGTCCCAGAGCAGCTCCGAATCTGACCCCAGTGCTGTTCCCAGTATGTCCCAGTGCTTCCCAGTATCTCCCAGTGTGTCCCAGTGCCTCGCCCAGCCCCATTCCAGTGTCCCAGAGCAGTTCCCAGTCCCCTACTGCTATCCCAGTGTCCCCCCAGTATGTTCCGGTGCCCCCCAGTGCCGCACCTTGATCTTCTCCTGGTACACGTGGTCATCCTCGGCGTACTCCCTGTAGAGCTCCAGGCGCTCCGAGACCAGCGGGTTCTGCACTGCGATTTGGGGTGCAGGGGGCAAGCCACGGGGGGGGGTCACGGCCTCGGGGGGCTCCGGGACCCCCGCGGGGCGCGGCCGGAGGGGCTCCAGGGGAGGATTTGGGGCGGGGGTTTCCCCACCTCCTGCTGGATCCAGTCCTGCTGCGCCATAGTCACTCGTCGTAGGCCAGGCAGTTCACGGCTGGGGGGACACCGGGGGTCACCGGGGGCGTCCCGAGCGGCTCCCCGGCCCACCGGGGTCCCCCCGAGAGGGTCCTGAGGGGAGAGGGCGGGGAAGGCGCGGAGGGATCGGGGCGGTTTTGGGGGATTCCGGCGGTGGGTCCGGGGAACTGGGGTCGGTCCAGGCGCTGCCGGGATGATCGAGGCCCTCCCGCGAGGAGCGAGGCCGCGGCGCGTGGGAGAACCGGGGGACCGCATCCCGCGGGTGGCGGGATGGGGATGTGTGAGGGGGCTCCGCCGGTACCGTCCAGCCGAGCGGCTCCGGCTGCGGCTGCTGAGGCTCCTCCGCCGCCATCCCCGCGCCGCTGCCGGGGGCGGCACCTGCCCCGCCCACAATGGGCGTGATCACCGATACCGGCCCCGCCCTCCCCTCATGGCGGCGCCTCCCTCAGGGAGCGATGGCGGCCCCGGTGAGGGCGGCGGGCACGGCCCGGGAGCTCCGCGATCCCCGGCGGGGTCCCTGCCAGGGCCGGTGCCTCTATCAGCCCTCCCGGCCCCGCGCCTTTCTGTTCTCTGAAGCGAAAATGAAGGGAAATGGTGTTTTCCCGTTAATCGGAGAAGTAATGAAAAATGCGCGATTGAAGCTCTGAGAATCGCCCGTGAAGGGGGTTCCTCCTCCATTTAAACAGGCACTTATGGAAGGAAGGTTTCTGCCTGTGTTCAAACTCTTTCTCCTCTCACTGCCCGCTCTTTTTGCCGGCGTCACGAGGATATATCGGGGAGGCACTTGGGAAGAACCGGGATGGAACTGAGGGTACCGGGAACATGAAATTGGGTAGAAAAGGATCGCACCCACTCCGCTGCTGCTTCAGCACAAGGCTTTGCTCCCTCAGCGCCTCCTTCAGCAGCGCCGCGTGCCCAGGAGCCTCCGGGAGCCTCCAGGTACCTCCGGGAGCCTCCGGGTACCTCCGGGTACCTCCGGGAGCCTCCAGGTACCTCCGGGAGCCTCCAGGTACCTTCAGGTGCCTCCGGGTGTCTCCAGGTACCTCCGGGAGCCTCCGGGAGCCTCCAGGTGCCTCCGGGAGCCTCCAGGTGCCTCCGGGAGCCTCCAGGTACCTCCGGGAGCCTCCAGGTACCTCCAGGTACCTCCGGGTGCCTCCGGGAGCCTCCAGGTGCCTCCAGGTGCCTCCAGGTACCTCCGGGTGTCTCCAGGTACCTTCAGGTACCTTCAGGTGCCTCCGGGTGTCTCCAGGTGCTCCCCCAGCTCCCACCCAGCCCCTCCTCTCCTCCAGGAGACACCCGCGCAGGTGTGCCGAGGTAACACCTCCCAGAGCGACCCCCGGCAGGACCCGCCGCCTCCTCATCCTCGCTGGTCTCACCAGGGGTAGCCAAGACTCCCAAAATTCCGAATTTTCCCCAATTCTCCCAGGCTTCCGCTGTCCCGTTTGAAACTTCCCGCGCTGCCGGGGTGAGGGGCGGGGTTATGCAGATTTATCGAGACAAAGTGCGCGAAAGGCACGCTGGGAGAATGTTTTCTGGGAGGTTTCGGGGTTCAGTGGGGCCGGACCGGGCGGGACGGGAGAGGGAAATGCGGGAGGAAGCGCGGAAAGAGGCCGGGAATTGCCCGGAGCAGCTGCGGGGGCGGCGCGGGGGTGGCCGTGAGGTGCTCAAAGGCAGATCCGGGTGGGATCGGTGCGGGGGGGGAAGTCCCGCATCGCTTCTCGGCCTTTTGGCTAAGATCAAGTGTAGTATCTGTTCTTATCAGTTTAATATCTGATACGTCCTCGATGAGAGGACTTCATATTAAACAGGTTTTTGGGTTCGGGAGTTGCACCCGGAGCTTGCTCCCTCCACTCCGCGCATCGTCCCGGTATTGCAGAGCCTCCGGGAGCGGTGCACCCCGCTCGGGGTCACCTAATGGGTTAAAAATAGACTGAGCTTTTCTTTCGAGTCGAGACCGCCCGGTTTCAATCGCGACATCCCCGCGCTGCGGCTCAGCCCCGGACCCTTCTCTATCGCGATATCCCCGCTACCGCCAGCGCTGCCCCCACCGGCCCCGCCGCGCTCACAAAGGGCTCCGAGCGATCGCCCGTGGCCATCGAGTGCCGTTCTATCGCGGCTCTATCGCGGCTCTATCGCGGCTCTATCGCGCTCACAGCCCTGCCATCGGCACTCAGCCTCGCTCCTGCATTCTCCTGCCAAACAAGAACTTTGCTCTCTTACTTAACTTCTCTTTACTTCTTAACCTCTTAGGCTCTCTTACCCCCTCTTGCCCCTCTCTCTCTACCCCTTTAATTACCTTCTGCCCTCATGCTCTCAGCCTCCCCTTTCCGCTTTCTCTCTCCCTCTTTGAGCACGTTTATGCTGTGGCTGTCAGCGTAAATGGATCTCTTCCACCCTCTACCTAAATAATAAAGTGCTTATCCCAAGCGCAGCCTGGCTTGGAGAAGTATCTCACCGCAAACCCGTTTTTACTCCTACACCTGGGGCCGCATTTCTGGGCACACCTGAGCCCCTGCACATCTGGATACCCATTTTGGGGTGCACCTGAGCTGCTGGCTATCTGTGTCCCTACTGTTTGGGCTGTATTAGGTTTGCACAGCCTGCTTTTGATAGCTGGGCTTTCTACAGGGCTGGGTTCTGAGAGAAGGTTCTGGAAGTTTCCTCTGTGTTCAGCAGATCCAATCCCTGGATGGATCCAAAGATGGAGGTATCAGATGCAGAGGGCCACGAGGATGCAGAGATCCACCCGTAGCCCCTGAAGAAGCCCATGCCGGAGCAGGGCAATGCCTGAGATGAGGCTGTGGCCCCGGGGGACACCTGTGGACAGAGGGGCCCTCGCTGGAGCCGCCTGTCCTGGAAGGACTGACCCCGTGGCAGAGTGACCCACGCTGCAGCACTGTGAGGGGCTGTTCCCCATGGGATGGACTCAGCTTGGAGAAGTTCCTGGAGAAGTCTCCGGTGGGAGAGAGCCCAGGGTGCAGCAGGGGAACGACTCCTGTCCCTGAGCAGCGGGAAAAGCCCCGGGGGATGGAGTGACCATGGCCCCATTCCCTGTGTCCCTGCACTGCCGGGGGAGGAGGCGCAGCTGGGAGGAGGGAGGGGTGGGGGAAGCTGGTTTTAAGGGTCTTCCTTTACTTCTCATGATCCTGCTCTGAGTTTGTGGAGTTTTCTGCCAGAAATCTCTCTCCTCCCCCACTCATCCACAGGGGTTTGGGGCAGTTTACCTTTTTAGGTGAAAATCCGAGCGATGCACTGAGGCACCTAATTAGCGCTGGGAGAAGTGAGGCTCCCGGGCTTCCTGCTGAGCCGGAGCCACCGAACACCCAGGGCAGGGAAAGGCGGACCGGGAGCTGCGGAGAACTTTGTTTGTGTTGGGAGCTCAATGGCGGCTCGGGCCGGGCCCGTTCCAGGCCTGTTCCTCATCTCCGCCCTTCCCCTCACACAGCCCGGGGCGGGCCCTGAGAGCGCGGGGCGGGGCTGTGCCGTGTGCAGAGCCCGCCGCTGGCTGCGATTGGCTGCTGCTGCCGTCACTCGTGGTTCTGGCGCGCGCTGATTGGGCAGAGCGGGGACAAGCCCGGCCCCGCTGGCGCCCCCAGGGCGGCC